GAACTTGACGACAACGACTGAGATACCAACCGATCTGGGCGGGGTTGCTGTAGCCGCTACAACAACAACAACAACAAAATGCCAAAACCTAGTTCGCCTCTTGTTTTCACCAGCGGTGAGGTAAGGGTAGCCATCGGGAAGGCGAAAACCTCCAATGCCATTGGACCCGACGGAATATGCATGTTAATGCTGAAAAATTTGGGTCCTGCGGGAGTAGCGTACCTAACGGAGGTCCTCAACCTGTCTATGGCCACTCTCATCATTCCAGACATCTGGTAAAGGGGGGGGGGGAGAGTGGTCCCACTGCTCAAACCGGGGAAACCAGCCAACAAAGGAGAGTCTTATCGCCCGATAACTCTCCCTTCCCCGGTAGCGAAGACACTCGAGGCCCTGCTGCTCCCGTACTTTACGAAACACCTGACCCCAGCGAAGCATCAAAATGTAAATTTTTTTATATTGTGGCCCTCTTATTCCATTTAAAATCCTCCTTGGTATTATAACCTAACATTAGCCTAATATTTGCTAAACTAGGGTTTTTTTCAGTGTTATGATAATTGGATTAACATCGAATTAAGCCATACCGTTGATTTGGAAAATCTGAACGTTTTTAGCTATAGAGGAAATGTTACTATTGCAAATTGGGATATTGGGTTAGCTAAAATCTCTCAGGAACCTCTCACTGATCATCAACGATCGAACCTTAGGGTGAGTTACTGGAATTACGTGTGTAGGGAGTTTAAAGATAATATTTGGTCTTAGGGTTTAGCAGAAAAACACCGCTTGTACAGACTAAAAGCAGAGGTCGCCTATGCTAACGGAAAACGAAAAATCTTCTTAAGTGCGTCGAGAGCATGCAATCTTATTGGAGCCAATTTAAACGATGCGCTGTCTGTTTTTGTGGACAACAGTGGCTATGTGAATGCTGTTACGCTATTAACAATCGCTTCCGATAATTGGTAATGTTTTATTAGACATACATATGTACATTAAACGCACGGCAACCATACTTTGAGAGCTGAATACGGGACACAAAATAATTTTGCAAATTTTTTCTACAACAGTTTACAGATTCTAAAGCCGGAAAATGTTTAGTAGCGCTCACATCGTTTTTGCGGGGGCCCGGAGGGGCAGGGGCAGGGCCCCCTAAACTCACCCCACCAGAAAGGGGACAGTCCCCGTTTTCTAAAAAGGCGTAACTTGGGCTCGTACCACAAGCCCCTAGGGAACCGTTTGAAATAGGGGGAAGAACGGAATTTTCTTAGGCAAACTGAGCAGTTTGAAGTGGAATATGACCCAACTAACAGAAACCGTGGGATTTTTTAATAAAAGAAATTATGCCAAATTAGATATCGGGTGATTTTGAATAAAGAATAAAATAGTTAGTTAAAAATAGAAAAAACAAGTTTTTATAAAAAAAAAATGTTCTTTTTAAGAATGTATGGCCGCACTTAGGGATTATAACCGTCAGGCAGTAGAATTCTCCATTCTGTGTTGCCAAAGAAGGGGGGCTGAACACCTTTTGCAGAGAATATCTTTCTGCGTAGGCGGCCTTCGGCCGCTCTTAGGGATTATAACTCAGGCAGTAGAATTCTCGGATACTGTTTAGTAAGTGGCCCACCTATTTCGGGGTATTGCGTCCAAAGGGGTGACCCGATCCAAAAAAAAATTGCACACACTTGTAGTCAAGGGTCTACACCATGATACAAATATTTAAAGGTGAAGGGGGAGAGGTGTGGCCACAGACCCCTAGGAAACCGTTTGAAAATGGGCGAAACACGGCATTTACCGAAGGAAATTGAGCAGTTTGAAGTGGAATATGTATAACCCCACTAACAGAATCTGTGGGGTTGTGGGGCCTTCGGCCGCACTTAGGGATTATAACCCTCACAAAGTAGAATTCTCTTTCTGTTTTGCGAAGGAGCTGAACACCTTTTGCAGAGAACACTTATCTTCACTTCTTATCCGCCATTGCTCCCATTTGACGTAAACTGTGCTTTTGACGTTTTCTTTTAAATTCAAGCTACCATATTCTTTGAAGAAACTAAAAAGTGTTTTTTTACTTCAAAAATATTATTTCAAAAATTATTTCATAGAATATATTTTGAGCATCATTTTATAGCGAGCTTTTAGCGGTTTATTTCTAAATTTAATTATAAAACGGAAGGCAAGTAAAATACTCCTATTACATTGCGTGTAGCACATAGATTCTCTATTTGTTTATGCAATCATTTTCATCATTATTTAGTACGCTTAGCTGCATATTTCGGGATGGCCACGTGCATGGTAACTTCACCAAGGTGTTTGCTTGTTCCAACCACTTTTCGGCTGAAAATTTTTAACCTCGGGACGGATGTGCCCAATCTAAGCGAAACGCTGCACCAGCATTCATTCCCACGACAGCG